ATATAAATGTCGTTAATGTAACAAATTCATAATAAAAAGCTCACAAAGCGCAAAACTACATGGGTATAAGAGGTAAAAAAATGTTGGTGCCATAATAACAAATTAGAATTAAGTAATGGATAAATGGTGATCCCCCTCCTCAGGAATGCACTGCGATCACCAATGACGTTTTGGAGAGCCCGAGACCTGCACTAACACCACTCGTCAGGGACGTGTCCTTGCAACAGATCTCATCGCCTGCACTCTACGTCATGCTAGTCAATATTGCAATATAATAGGACTACACTACAAAAGCCAAAAAACCAATCCCTATCCCAGTTTTTGAAAACAGCTCCAACATTCTTAGAGATCTTGTGAACGTGGTGAGGAACGCGCGTGGTGTGACCATAAACAGATATGTAAACACATATAGCAAAGCAAGCTAAAAAACAATGTAAGCTTAGCTCTAATGGCGAACAACAAATAAACCAAGCAACAAGTCCAAAAATATTAGCTGCAAACCAATTTAAGTGTAAAAAAGGCCGAAAAGTTTTAGGCGTAGCTTCAGCAAGTCAAAATATGGAATGGTACCAGTGTGAAAATTCACACTGGTACCATTGTACCAATAACCAAGATTTGGTTATGTTAAACATGCATACGTAAAAGGCACTGAGTTTTATTGCTCCAAAAAGTGCCACACAACTGAAAACTCAACTCAACCTCTAGTACCTTTAAACAACTCAACTTCATCACAAGAATAAAAAAGTTTATTTTATTTGATTGATTTTTTAATTGTTATTATTGGTTGTTTTTTAATAGAGTGCTGTTTTAATTACACATATATTTGCATATTTCATTCTCCCGGAATGTCAGTGTAGAATAGAATAAATTGTTTTTTAATCAAATAAAGTTTCATAAAAAACCTTAAAAAAAATAATTTGATTATTATATATTTAAATACAGCTCTACATTCTCTAAAACTTAAAAAAAAAAATTAAAAATCTTTTTTCCGTAAAAAATAAAAAATTTAAATTCTTAACTGTTCTATTTGACTCCATTTGACCCCATTTTACTCTATTCAAGAAATAGAACAAAATCTTTTTTTATTCATTTAGTTATAGACAAATCATGATTATGTAGAATGTCAAGAAAATAAAAAATATTTTTATGTTTTGTTTTTTTTATTTTATTTTTATGTTTTTAAACTGGAATCTAAGAAAAAATTCAATAACATTAGTTTTATAATAACATTATAACATTTCATTTTGTTTTGAGTTAATTATTCAATTGAACTAGTTTTGCGCTAGTTTAGTAAATTGTGATAGTTGAAAAAAGTTAATTTTCAATAAATATAAAAAGTAAATAAAAAGAATTTTATGACATCAAAAACTGCATAATGCAAATGTATCCAGCATTATTTATTTATAATATAATAATATGTACATATATATATATATATATATATATATATATATATATATATATATATATATATATATATATATATATATATATATATATATATATATATTTATGTATATATAAATCTACCTCAACCTTTTTCTGTATCTGTATCTTCATTGCTCAACTTTAATCTTACCACCTAAATCTTTTTTAATTTTGTTCACTATTTCTAACTCTGTTTAAGATCATCTTTTGTTAGAGTTAAACCACAAATCCACCTGATCATCATATTCTCTCTAAGTAAATGCTATGCAATATAAATACTAATGTTTATATAAATATGTAAGGACATTGTATGCCAGCATAAATGGCAGACATATACATTTATATCCATATATATCTATATTATGTATGCATAAATGCGCCTCTTATGTAACCCCCTGGATCCAGGCAGGTATGAAAGCTTTTGTTTCTTCACTTGACAGTTTTAAGTCAAGTCTCGTTCTGCTCTTTGGTTTTCAGCTTCTTTTGCTGCTGCTATATCTAATTGTAATCATTTTTTCCATCTTTTTTATAAGAATAACTCTCTATTGAGAACAAAAAATTTTTTTATTATTGCATGAAATCAATGTAAAAAAGTGCTGTCTGATGCTAAGCTTCATTATTTTGAGTTTACTAAACCTCATATTTTTTCTCAGATGTTCTAGAAACTTTTGAAAAATGTTCAACAGTCTCATTAACAAAGACAAGTGTAACATTCCATCTCTAATTCATGGGTCTGATCTCATTACCTCTTCAAAGGGTAAGACATAACTATTTGTTAGAAGTATTTGCAAAGAGCTCAACTCTTTTTTCACTAAACTCTAAAATCTAAAGACCATACTTATCAGTTTAACCCATTGAAATTCAAACCACTCCAGCTTTTGTTGCTAAAGTCATATCTCAATTAAATCCTTCTTCAACTTGTGTGTCTAGAAAATTTTAGAGATTATGAAATCATTTTTTTCTAATGGCAGTACTAAAGTCATTTTCAAAGACCAATACTCTTCTTCATTTCCAATTCTCTTCTTCATTTTCAGTAACTTTAGGAGGTACCATAAGGTTTCATCTTTGGTCCTGTATTGTTTTATAACTGCATTATTGATCTTACTGACAACCTAAAGTAACAACATCTAAAGTATTTGCTGGTGACTTAATTTTATACTCCTGTCTTGACAAAAAGTCTTCACTTTTTAATTTCTCAGAACAAGCAGACAATCTTGAATCTGATCTCACTTCTTTAACAGACTGGAGCTTGCAGTGGCTTGTAAACTCTAACAAATCTCAGTTATTTACTGCAAACAATTTTCACAATATTTTTGAAATTTCTATATTGATGAATTTTAACCAACTCACTGAGTCCTCTACTTTACATCTTATTTGATTATCATTCACTACTAACTTCACATGTAAACCATATTTACAATCCATCGCAAAGTTAGCAATGCAACCTTAGCAACTGCTACAGTTGCTACTCTTTATGGTACTTGCCATTATCTTATACCCAATTTCATTCCGTACCTCTACAAATCTTATGGTTCCCTATATAAAATACTGTTGTCATAATTGGGACTGGTTCTTCTAATCATGCTCTTTTTCATTTAGACAAGGTCTAAAAACACATTGTAAAAGTAGTTAGACCTGCTCTTCTACTAAGTTTCAATGCAAATAAAATAAATATGCAAATAAAAGGGTCACTCTTTTATTTGTATCTCTTTCTCTTTTCTACAAACACCATCATGATTTCTTCTCAAAGAAACTATCATTTTTAGTTAGATCATCCAAAACTCATTCTTGCTTGACTCGTCATTTAGCAGGGTAGCACCCTTTTACTTACTCTGTCATATAATGCTCGAAAAACTTTTATTCGTCTACTTTTTTAGACCGAAACCAAGGTTCCTGTCACTTACTATTTATATACTTACTATAAAATCTACATTTATCTTGAGGTATATAAGTGGATTATCTGTACCCTAGTATTAAAAAACCTACATTTATCTTGAGTTATGCATTAAGGTGCCAATGAAAATTTTTTTTTTTTAAATCTCAATGTAATAATATCTTGCCACTTGTTTAACGCATGTAAAGTTTTTAATATATTTACAATCAATGAACAGTTAATACTTCTATGTTAAAACAAACACATTATCTTGTTTATGATATATACATAAATGTTAACCAACAAAGTGAATTTTATTGTTAAACATAGAGCATTGTATTAGTAAAAGTATGCGTTTAACTATTTTAAGGTCAGTTTAAATTAGTGGTTGGCACTCAGGCAACCAGCAAGTGTAGATTTCTTAGGGTTGGCAGTGTTTCTTGACCACCTGAAGCAAAAACTGTTTCTGGTTTCCTTAGTTTGTATTACTGGCATTAAATAACTCTATACACCATGTTTAGCAGTAGCATCGACAACTTTTAATGCATTAATATGACTTTAGGGGGCATAACCAAACGATTTGGCAGCATCTGACTAAATATATCTTGCATTTTGGTTGCTTACTTTTATCCTATCAAGTGCAGAGGATAGCTCTTGGGTTAATACATTGAAGTTTTTTATATTTAAGATATAAAAAATGTACACGCTTTTTTCTATGCTTTTTATTAGCAGTCAATCTGCACCCTTTATTACAAAAACTGCATTTGTTTACTACATGCAATTTGTTTATTTTGAAACACCTTTTTTTCTTTTTCTAATTATGTATTGCTTTGTTATTCAAAAATATGTATAAATATTATTTACCTTTTTAGAAGGCATTGGTTGCATTTTTAAATATGTATGCATACATACATATTTAAAAATAAATCTTTTTTTTTTAACATTTGAAAAGAGTTTTCTTAATAAAGATGTTTTTATTGATGATTAAATAAAATTTATAAATAAATTTTATATAATTTGAAATCTAAAATTTATGTAATATATAATCTATACTTAGGTTAAATATTTTACAAGTATCAGTAAAAGTATATAAAAAAACATATAAATTTTATAGATAAGAATATATGAATTTAAATATTATTTATTCTAATATCCACTTTGATTAGTTATAAAGTTAACTATGAAAACTAATATCAATTATTCATTAAATCCTTTAATAGTATTTGTAAAAGAACAAACTTGCTTTTACAAATACTATTTTTATATTAAATATTGTATATATTTTGATTTAATAATTTTCTCTTATAAATTTTTTAAACTAAATTTTATTTTCTATTAAATTTTATTTTCTACAAACTCGAAATTCTCAACATTGAAATAAATTCTTTTTTAATATGTTTAAAATTTTTGTTAAACAAAAATTCTTGTAATACAAGAATTAGTCATGTAATTACAAGAATTATTCATCTAAATAGAGTGAAGCAATTTAACTCATGAAATAAAATAACTCCCCTGTATTCATAATGCGGATTACAAAATGAGTTGGTTTTTCTTGCTTCGTTCTTCCGTGGTTTTTTCAGTTTTTTTTTTTTTATTAACTTTTTACAATGTAATATTTTTATTTTTCAAGGTCAATTTGTAGAATTTATTTTCTACTTTGATTAACTTTTTAAAATTGTAATATTTTTTTTTTTTCAAGGTCAATTTGTGGAATTTATTTTCTACTTTGCCTATTCTTATGGTAAGACCTTTTTTTTTAAAATTTTTTAATTCTAAAGTTTCTTAAAACTATGAAAAAAAAACTCTGTAAGAAGAGATTTAGAAAATAGCAGGTGTTTTCATTTTCAAAATCTTTTCTTCAAATTCTTATTTGCCCTGTAATCAGAATTTGAGTTATAGAGAGTAGGTGTGATGTCTTTGGCTGAAGACTGGTATGACTTTTGGTATGATTTTTGGCTCCTGTATGATGTCTGTGCATACATCAAAACATAGATTTTTAAATTTAGTCATTTTAAAATTCCTGCTACCAGTAGTCAACAACTTAACTAGTCTGAAAACTACAATTTATGGTTTATAAATTTAAAAGTTTATGGTTTATATAGTATAAATGGTTTATATGTTTAAATTTAGAAAAAGTTTAAAACAATTTTTTTAAATTTTGTTAAAGTAATTAAGTGAAATAAGAAATCTTTCAAAATTTCCTCCAGGTTTATTGCCAAAAAAATTTTTTTGAAAAGTTTGTTGCCAAAATGTTTTTTTCATTTCTCCAAAATCTCTCGTTTTTTTTTTCTCCCATGTTCTTTTCAACTCAAAGTACTCTCAGCTCTTGTTCTCAAAGCAAATCATGTTTGCTTTGAAAGTTAGATATTTTTTAACTTATTATTATTATTATCAATATTATTATTTTTATTATTATTATTATCATTATTACTAGCTGTCTGGGCCCTAAAATATGGGTCATGGTAAACTGATTTACACCCACCATTTCTGTACTTTTCCTTTTTATGGTTTCTTTTTTGTAGACCCATTAAAAACCCCTTCCTTTATGTTATAATTGGTAAGTGAGAAAATTTATTTAATTGAAATCAAGATTTTAAAATAAGAGAAGCTTTTAACCAAAATTATAAAGTGCAAAATAAAAATGTATATATATATATATATATATATATATATATATATATATATATATATATATATATATACATACGTGTATATATTATATATATATATATATATATATATATATATATATATATATATATATGTATATATATATGTATGTATGTATATATATATATATATATATATATATATATATATATATATATATATATATATATATATATACATACGTGTATATATATATATATATATATATATATATATGTATACATACGTGTATATATATATATATATATATATGTATATATATATATACACATAAATAAATAGTAGTAGCAGCACTCCGTTGTCAATGTAGCAGTCAATGAAGCAGCACTTTGTTGTGAGTCAGGCTATTTGTCAGTTGATGTAGCAGCACTCCGTTGCAAGTCAGGTTATTTGTCAGTCAATCTAGCAGCACTCTGTTGCAAGTCAGGCTATAAGATAGTCGATGTAGCAATATTCAGCGCATGTTTTACAGTTAAAAAATAAAAACATTCTAGTCTTATAATTTGTGTTTTTGTGGTTTAATTACTTCCCACAATTAAATTAATGCATTTTGACATAATCTAACCTTAATTTTGTCAGCTTTAATAACCACAAACAAGCAAAGTGCCATGTTTTACCACAAACATGTTTTCTTAGCCGTAAACTATAGGAATATGCATGTATATATATATATATATATATATATATATATATATATATATATATATATATATATATATATATATATATATATATATATATATATATATATATTTAAAAATATATCTAAATATATATATTTATTTACAAGTAGCAAAATATTATTAAGAAAAAGGATCATAATATATGACTTTTTTACAATTAAAAACAGCATAAATTGTTAAGAAAACAGAACAAAATGTTTACTAATAAAACAATACTAATTCTTTTTTATTAAAAAGAACAAATAAATATTTTTTTTTAACAAAACATTTAACAAAACAAATTTTTATTATTTAAAGTTGCTATATATATACAAAAAAAGCAAAACAAAATTTAAAAAAAAAAGTATTTACAAAAAACATTTAAATTTAAAAAGAATTTAAAAAGAAAAGTATTTACAAAAAACATTCAACTGCATCTAGTAAATTTAAAGTTATAAAAGTTTTGTAGTGTAATGTTTTCTCTCTACTCTCTCATAGTTTGCTTTCTATGGGAGCTACTATCCAATAAAATAGGGGAGTTTGCCCCAAATATAGGCCTATACCCTATGCAAAATATAGGATGTCAGCCCTCAATTCGTTCTGTGATATGCTGAAAAAGCATCGTAAAATAAATCTAAAAAAAGCAATTATGATATGATAAAAGAAGTATTACATATAGACATTACATATAAACACTGCAAATCATTTACTGCTGTTGTTGCTGCAATTGTTACTACAACTGATGCTGTTTTCATAATACAAATAAACAAATACAGGTAAAATTTTGCTGTTTTCATAATACAAATAAACAAATACAGGTAAAAATTTGCTGTTTTCATAATACAAATAACAAATACAGGTAAAAATTTGATATTAACTCCTTAACATTTTAAAGATTATTTGTTTAAATATAATCAAACATTACAAAATTTATACTTTTAAAAATAACTTGTTTTTTTTATTTCTCTAATAATAAATATATAATAAAAGGCATAATATATAATAAGAAATATATAAATAAATATACGAATAATAATATATTGCAATAATAATATATATAATATATAAATACTATATAATATAAATAAATATATATACAAATATAGATAAATAATATATACAAATATATAAATAATAATATTGAAATAATGAGTATATAAATAAATATATAAAAAGGATTAAAAAAAGGAATAAGGTTTACCTATCAATAAATTGCATAGACAGGTTATATGATAAACTCTTTAAATTTTAAAACTGCTGATTAGGCAGATATATACAGAGTAATGAAGATATTGAAGAACACCACCGCAAGCTTTAAATCATAAAAGGACATTATATAAAACCATATGCAAATTAACTGTTTAAAAATACAATCCGTAAAAAAAGGTGATAATTGACTGTGTATCAAAAAGATTGTAAATACGTTAAGAAATTCCTACATTAAAGCACAGTATTAATGTATACACAAGTATTAAATTTTATTAATGGGCAAAATTTTGAAAACTCTCATATAAACAGAAAAACCCAATCATTATTAGAGAATAATACATTAATTTTTAGAGCAGTATTAAAAATTGTTTAAAACTGAAAGAAAAGACATTTATAGACACAAAACTGTTGCACAAATTAGCAAAAACATATTAATTAACAGTACAAACTTTTTTTACAAAAACATAATAATTAACAAACTTTGTAATGTGATCAGAAGATACTTACCTTAATTGTGACAAATTAAATTTTTTTAAAAACTGTTAACTAATGATTAGTAAAATAAATTTCAAATCATTAAAATTTACTAAATCGCAACCATGCTATAACAGTAAACAAAGTAAACTAATGTTGGTAGAACACTAAGGTAGAACTATAGAAATAACAATAATAGATAAGTATTACTTGAAAAATAGTTATGAAGACTTGAATAATGTTTAAAAAATTAAAATGAAGACTTGAATAAAGTTTAAAAAATTAAAATGAAGACTTGAATAAAGTTTAAAAAATTAAAATGAAGACTTGAATAAAGTTTAAAAAATTAAAATGAAGACTTGAATAAAGTTTAAAAAATTGAAATGAAGACTTAAGTAAAGATATAAAGAAAAAATCACATAACTAAAGATACCTTTATTTGAAGTAAAAGTAAAAGATGTATGTACTGAAGCACCGGGCAGCAGGCTATTTCAGTGTGACATCACTGTGATTATCTAAACACACGTTTATAGTTATATATATATATATATATATATATATATATATATATATATATATATATATATATATATATATATATATATATATATATATATATATGTATATATATATATATATATATAGCAGGAAATTGGCGTTTTTTTTGCGTATTTGCCGTAAAAACGTAAAAAAGATTTTAAAAAAATAAAAAAGTTTGTTAATTTTTGATTTGGGGGGCACCCAAATACAGTCAACGCTATCAATATATATATATATATATATATATATATATATATATATATATATATATATATATATATATATATATATATATATATATATACACACATATACATATATATATATATATATATATACACACACACACACATATTCTATATCTTCTATTAATTCTTTATCAGAAATATATATCTTTATTTTTTTGCTTTTTTATTTTAAAGTAATGTGATTAGTTTATTTTGAAACAATAAATAATTAAAGAGAGAAAAGTTAACAAACTTTTTATTATTTGCACAGCGATTTTTTTATTTATTGTAAAATTGTTATTCCTGCATTGTTGATTCATCTGTGCATGTGGAGCAGCAAAAATATAGCCCACCACGACACTTTACGTCTAGTGGAAAACAGTCTTAACTTGAGAAAACTGATATGTAAAGATGTATTAAAAGACTCTTTTACATCTTATCAAGACAGTTTGTTAAACAGTGTGAAGACTTCATTCTAAATTTAATTTTAATTTCATTCTAAATATTAAATATTATTTTTATAATTAAAATAATTTTAGATAATTCGCATTTTGGGTTGCTTGCTTGTTGAGCAAAAAGTTGTTTTAGTTTCAGCTTCTTTAAGGTATGGTGGTTTTTTATTCTTAAAAATGTGCATAATATTTCTTTTAAAAAAAAAATTGAAAATTTAATTTTTATAAAACTAAATTTATTTGTGAAAATATAAATATAAATCCATAAAGTTATAACACTGAAAAAATATCAATCAACAACAACCAACAAGGGATACCAACAACGGACAAAATAACTATCGGTCAACAACAAACAATGGTTACCAACAACAGAAAAAATAAAATTTTTTTAATTGTCACAGTAGTTGGTCAGTTAAACTTGTAAATTGAATTATGGTTATAGTAGTTGGTCAGCTAAATTTGTAAAAAGAAAAATCAGTTATTTTGAATATCAAGCAAATGCAAAAGGCCAGAATGTCAAAAGTTGATATTGTAAATTTTTTTATTAAGTTAATTATTTTAAAAAGTGACCTTCTAGCAGATCACAGTTTTGGTAAAACAAACAAATTACCTAAAAGAATATTTCTTAAATATGACGATATTTAAGATATATTCTTTAGTTTTTTTTCTTGGCAGTGAATCAACTTTTATGAATAAGGTTTTAAACAAGAAAACTCATAAGTATATATTCACATGAATATTATTTTAAGTGTTTTAAAACCTTAAAAATACTACATCTCTGGTAGTAATGTGTTTGTTTCTCCCCGCTGTAGCCTTTCTTTTTTAAAGCTCATGTTTCAAAATTAAAGAGTTATGGTTATAACAAAAATTAAAAAAAAAATTTTTTTGACTGTAGTGACCCCTGCAGCTAAATTAAAGAAAAAGTAAACCTGTGTTTTAGTTTTTTATAACTCTAGACCTTGATTCTACTTATAGATTTTGCTTGTTTATTAGCCCTAAGGTTGGCTGGTAGTAAGGCTTTCTGATCTCTTTGGCAGCTCTCAGAGGCTGACTTCATCGACAGCTGTAAAATATCAAATTGTATGTATATTGTACATGGATAGTGTCCATTTCAGTGCTTTTTGTAAGCATTGCTAGCCTTGTTATGAGATTTTGTTGTAAAACAAAAAAGCTTGTGTTCATATTAAAAAGAATGATTTTTAAAAAAAAACGTTTGGGCTAAATTTTTTTGATTACAACAAAAGAATAAATGCATAGCAAGAAAAACTAACTTTTTTGTTTTAGTCGAATATTACCTTTTTTGTTTTGTTGTAGCCAAATAGCCTTAATAATATATGCCGAAATCTACAGACTTGATAATTTATTTAACCATGTTTTATTCTGAAGGGTTTTAGTACATGACATCATTGATTTTTTTTGTTTGTTTAAATATCGATTATCTAAACAAACAAAAAATGACGTCATATACTAAAAGTTATAGGAATGCGCTTGAATAAATTATCAAGTCTATAGATTGTGGCATATATTATGAAGACTATTTGGCTTCAATAAAACAAAAAAGGCAATCTTCGACTAAAACAAAAAAGTTAGTTTTTCTTGCTATGTTATTATTCTTTTTTTTATAATCAAAAAAATTTAGCCCAAACATTTTTTAATCATTCTTTTTAATATAAACACAACATGCCTCGAAGGTTTGGGATCCCTTTAACTGTTCTGTTTATTTATAGTTTTATTTTTTCAATAATTTATTTATTCTTTATCAATTTCAAAATTGTGGTGAAAATGTTTTTTACAAAAATAATTACTGCTTATTATTTTCTGCATAAACTGTTTCAAAAGACTGTTTAAATAATGGAAAATTTTGGCATAACGTAAACAGCTTAATGTGTGAAATTACAGTTTCATAAAGAAAATTTGAATGGCGTAATGTTTCTTAAAAAGATCTGCATTGTCTGCTAAACAAAGAGCCATTTGTTATAACTTATGTTTGATTAGCAGGAATCTGGCGATCACAAAATTTTTGCTTAAATTGCCAATTTATATTTTTTTGTGCCTCCCTAATTATTTAAATTATAAATTTAAATAAAAGTATTGTACCAAAATATATTAAACATAAAATACCATCGTTTTATGAAAAACAAAAAACCATCAAGTTTTTTCAGTTTATCTTTTACAAATATTTGTATCCTATATAGAATTTTGGAAAACAACACTCATTACAGACTTTGACCCTCTTGATCTTCAACTTTTAGTTTAGTAAGTAAAAAGTCATTTTATGAAATCAAAAACACTTTTTTCACTTTGGATAAACTTTTGTTATCCAAGGTAGATAAAAGTTATTTTGAAGTTATAAAATTTTTTTTTACAGGAAATGTTTTATTGTATTACTTGCAAAATTGTGCTAGAGATAATTGTGCTTAAGACTGTTATGTTTTTATGGAATACTGTTGGGCTGCCTCTTTTAATGACGTGCTGTCTTTTTAGGCAAATTTCAAAAACATATTGTAAATGTAGACGAAATTGCTTGAGCTCATTGAGTTTTTTTCCCATCATTGTAAGGATACATATCTCTTTTCTACAAATATTACAATGGTTGCTGCTCAAGCAAGCTATTATATTTTGTTTTACCAACCAAAGCACAATATTGCATGACTTGAACAAAAATTATTATTCAGCAAAGTAGGATTCTTTTATTGTAATTGTTTCTTCGTGTTCTTATGAGAATAATTTTCTCCCTTAAACATCTTTAAATATTCCTTCTTTTGAGTTCTCTCTCATTTTTTTTTCCAGGTTAACACAATTAAGAAATATGATGGAACAATGAACTCGAGGTAGAGAAAAAGCAAAATGAAAGTTTTAGTGAGATCATAGCAAGGTCTGAACTGCATAAATTTGAACACAGAAAAACTTAACAAAAGCTAGGATCAATGACAATACATTAAGAAAGACAAAAATTTTGAACTTAAGTGCCAGCAGCTTTAGTGGTTTAGTCAAGTTATTTATTGCGATAAGCATTAAATTCACTGATAACAACACTGGATGACTGATAAATAGATAGATGATGTTTTATTAGAAATAACATCAAGTAGAGTACCGTAGAACAAAGTCAGACTATATAAAATGAAGAGAAAGTTGCTTAATTGAAGAGCCAAACAAAATCACATAAAAGAAAAAATGGTTCAATTCTGATTTTGCAACAAATAGATTAAGATAATAAAAATAAATCACCTTTTCAAATAGAATTCAAATAAATAACATTATAAGATAAGTCATAGGATAATAGCCATCAACAACTAAAAATGAAACAAATCAAAATTATTTTCACAAAAAGCAAAAAGTAGGGGTGCTGAATTTTACATGGTATAAGATTAACGGATGAAAACATAATATTTGTGCAGAATAGATTGACTTGAACTATTCCGTAATAAAGATAGTTTTTTATGTTTTATATTTTTAGGTGCTATGATTTAAATTATTAGAGAATTTGACCCGATCATATAAAGTACAAGTCTCAGTAAGAGTGCAAGGTATCCTAAGTAATAAGCATTACAGTTGCCTGAGTAATGTCAATTAATCCAAAGTTGATACAAAGAGCTCTTTATGTAGTCTTGATAATCAACATGAAAAACTCTAAAAGGGACATCATTAATAACACTGTTGATACTGATATTATACAACTGTTAACAGAATCAGCCTATAAGATATTTTACAAGGTTTAGAAAACCTTTCTACCAGCTGGCCTCAGAACCATCAAACTAAGTTTTACAGGTCTACTCTAATTAGAAAATAGCAGAAAATATTGTAATAGCCAATTAATGAGGCAGAACAAGAACCTATGAGTAGAGTCAAAAAAATAGTGTTGGGATCAGAAACAGGAAACAATGTAATGTAATTTAAAAAATCTAATTATTTTGGAAAAAGAAGTGTTGAAAAAGTTTCAATGAAACTGATTTTTATTACTTTGCATATTTTTACTGAATTGAATGTCAAAAGTATTTTTTTCTTCTATAACATTTTAGCTTTTTTTTTTTGCATCACGCACAGACATATATCATGCATAAACAAACATTTGTGCGTGATAATCACGCGCAGACATATATCATGCATGAACAAACATTCATTTGTGCGTGATAATCACGCACAGACATATATCATGCATGAACAAATATTCATGATAATTAGGAAATCTAAGTTTTGCGATATGCAACAATTCTGATATTGACCATGTCAACAATTCAATCTGATATTGACCATGTCAACAATTCAATCTGATATTGGCCATGTCAACAATTCAATCTGATATTGACTATGTCAAGCTGGTAAACCATCTTCCCCATGATGTTTGCCTTTTCATATACCATGAAAATTTCAGGTTGTTAACGAAGGCTTTTTAAAAGAAGTTTAATATAATGTCAGACATAGTTGACAGATCTGTGTGTAATCAATCTTGCATGTTTATGGGGTGTAAAGCGAACTGTGGTTTGGCAAAGTTTAATGAATATGTTTCTAATGTAGTAGACTCATTTGGTGATGATTCAAACAAACTGCTCTTTGTTTTCTACTTATAGTCTTCAGAACATGAGCAGAAAATCGAACAACCACTTAACATCTTTGTTAAAGAGGTGCATATTGCTGCGTCAGCAATTGCCAGATTATATATGTCATGTGTTATAAATTTGTGTGTAATAATGAATTCGTTGTAACAATGAATTTATTGTAACAATGTTGTAACTCAAAATTAATTGAGAATAAATCATAGACATTATATTTGTCACAAATTAATATGTGTTGTTTTTTTTTTCCTTTATTTGTTTACATTTAGTTCGTTTTAGTGTTATGTTATCCAAATAAGTAAATTGTTCAAGATTCTTGCAATGAATGAATGAAATTGTGAGAGATGAATCTTACAATTCTTTCTGTAGAAAATATCTAATGCATTATTTAATGAAAGAGTTTGAGAATTTGTTTTTTGATTAAATATGTCTCAAAAGCCAACACAACTAAATGTTTACATTTAAAAGCTGCATTTTGAGACATTCAAAATTTACTGCATGTTTAAGTATTTTATATTTTTAATTGTAATATTTGTAGAACAACCTCACAATTGTGTTTCAGAGATTTTAACTTTTTACTTTAGTTTACTTTCATCTTGTTGTCATGGGTTTATATCATTGATGTACCCTTTTGAATGGGAGGTTTTATATTTTTTTAATTTTATTTATTTTTTGATTAGTTTCTATAATCATAGTTTATTATTTCTATTTTTGTTAAATTTTTGTTTTTGCAAATTTTAAGTATAAAGTAACAAACTATAAAATTTTTTCAAAAGTTATAAAATGTTTCTTAATATATTTCATCAGACTATTTAAATAAACTTTTTATATATATTTGTAGCATACTTACATCCCTGTTCTCCCTACAAAATTAATTGAAATAGTTTGTTTACCTTCGCCTTATCTGATAGGAGTATTGCCAAGTGCTATTGTAGAGATGAATGATTTACCTGTTGAAGAAGTAGGTATTTTATTTGCTTGTGCAAATTCCTTAAAGGAATAGTTGTTTTTAAAAGAAATCATGAAATTTTTAGGTAATTGAAGAAATAGTTAATTTTAAAAGAAATTATGAAATTTTTAGGTCATTGAGGGAAAAGTTGTTTATAAAAGAAATCTTCAAATTTTAGGTTATTGAAGGAATTGTTGATTTTCAAAGAAATTTTTCAATTTTTAGGTTATTGTTATTGATCTAGATGAAAAGAAGATTTTATGTGAAGTATTTTTTTAATTGTTTATGTTTTTGTAAACTTCTTATAATGAAACAAATTAAAATAAAATATAATTTTTAGAGTCATCACAAAAGTGTTTTTCCTAAGCAAATCATCCAAGATATTTCTCACACTATGGTATGTATAATTTTTATCATAGAAAAATTTATTAGTGATTATATCACCAATAAATGTATTTATTAGTGATTGTATTACCATTAAATGCATCTGTTAAAATTATATCTCCAAAAAATGTATCTGTTACTGATTATATCACCAATAAATGTATCTGTTAGTGATTATATCACACTAAATGTATCTTTAAGTGATTATATCACCAATAAATGTATCTGTTAGTGATTATATCACACTAAATGTATCTTTTAGTGATTATATAACCAATAAATGTATCTGTTAGTGATTATATAATCAATAAATGTATCTGTTAGTGATTATATTACCAATAAATGTATCTGTTAGTGATTATAGTTTTTTTTTTTTTTTAACTGTGTTAATTGTAAAATACATTTTAGTTACTGTAAGTAAACTATAGGCTACTTACAGTAGTTACAATTTCTTAGTTAATAAAAGTAAGCTATATTTTGAGGCTCTCGATAAATACAGAGTTTGTCTGAAAGTACTAAACTAGCAGCTATAGGTAAAAAAAAAATTCAATGATATTGTTTGATCTTTTTTTAGTTAAAACAAATGTTTTACGCATGTAAAGAACTTCAAGATAAATCATTTTTAAGATTTATCAATATTTATGCAGCTCTAAGTATAACCCTCCCAATTTCTGACCCGGCTTAGGTTTATCAAATCTAGCTCCAATCAAATATCAACAAATAACAATATGGTGTTTGCAAGTAGCTTATAATAGTTTATAGCACAGTTAATCTGACAAAGGTTATAATTGGAGTTGATCAATGACAATAATTGGAAATCTAAAATAAATGTTTTTATAATTAATTTAGTAATAATAAATAATAATATTAGTAACTTTTTTCTATCGTTTTATTTTCACTTTTTGAATTATTTTTATTATTGAATTCTGTTAATAAATAATTATATTAGTAACTTTTTTCAATTGTTATTTTTAGGATGAAGTTCAAAAAAGTTTTTACAATTTAACAAACATTAGTGATAATGGTATTTACATTTTTTTCAAAAAAAAATATTGTCACTTATTTTCATTAATTCTCTTATGAGAGTTAATGAAAATAAATAATGCAATTTCACTTTTTTTTGGCATTTCACTGAAATATGTATTTTGTTCATTAGTATTTCACCAGAATTTTTTTTCTCTTTGTTTTTCAAAGAATAAAGAAAAATGGCCTAATAACTCTATATCAAAAAATCAATGGTGTAAAGTGTTTTGAAAAACTAAACCAGTCAACAAAAGTGTTTTTCTTAATTGCTATAATATTAATTTGTTTACATTGAAAATAAATTAATATCATAGTGACTTCAATGTAAACATAATTAATATCATAACTATAATTATGATATTAATTATGTTTACATTGAAGTCACCTATTGCTAAATAGAACATTTGTTTTAGGATATATGTCTTTAGTTGGTGGTTAAATCCTTTCTGTTGATCTTTACTCCAGAGATAAACAGAAACCTATGAGAGAAAAATTTGCAATAACACTTAGTATATAAAAGAAACATATCTTCATGTCTATAATCAATTGTGTATTACTTCCCATGTCTATATTGAATTTTTCAGACAGGTTTTTTGAAAAAGTTTCATGTAGCTTTTAACTAACATACAAAAAAATTGCCAAGTTGCAATTGTTGTATGTTTGTAGGCGAAAACATTAACCAGACTATGGGGCATCCATAAATTACATCATTCAATTTTTGACTGTTTTGGACCCTTCTCTTTACGTTTCCCACCATTTTACACTTCCTCCCAGTAAGAAATCATCATGCTGAGTGTTTATTTTTGTAATATTTTGTGTTTTATTTGAAGTTTATGTTTAATGTGTTTTAATTATTATTGTTGCTTGATAATTGTTGTATTATTAATTTTTATTTAATTTAATAGTTATATTATTGTTAATTACTTTTTCATTAATTATGTATACTTGGCTATGGTATGCCATTCTTCTAAATCAATTAGCTGGCTATGATTACTACCATTCCGCTACATCAATCAACTGGTCATGGCTGTACCATTCTTTTACATCAATTAACTGGCTATGGTTATACCATTCCTTTGCATCAATCAACTAGCATGAAGTGCATTTATATGTTCTATGAGATTTATTTTTATGGTGTTTTACTTTTTCTTCAAAATAGTAAATAAAGAAGATATTACACTAATTTTTATTTATTAAAAAATATATATATTTGAGCAAATCTTGCATCTTGGATAACATACTGCATCAAACAAAATAAGTATAACAAAAAATTTAATATACTAGTATTTAGTATTATAGTTAATAAACATCTAATTTAGTATACTATTTTTTAAAATATCCCCACATACTTTTTTGCAAGCTACACATGTCATTTTTGAAAGCTACATATCTTTTTGGCAAGATTGTTGTAATTTTTGCTGATTCAGCTAGCCAGGGCAATAAATCTACTTTGATTCAGTTAGCCAGGGCAATAAATTTACTTTGTTTTCTTTCCTCCATGCTTTGACTATACAAGCTGTGTGTACAAGTTCAATATCTTGTTTAAACTCCCACCATTCTTTTTGATCAATCAGCATATCTACTAATAGAACCATTTCATTCTTTAGCATCTCTATATAGGTGTTTTGGTTAATTTAACCTGTATAAATGTTACTCCCATCTAATCCATTAAAAACAAAGCAGCTCCAAATACCAACATTCCCACTGTCACTTTAGTTTAACAAAACGTATTCTTTTCAGATTTAAATCTTTTAACAATAACTTTGATTTTTCTGTTTATTACTATTTTCATCACAGAAAATTACTTTCTTCTGCTTTTCCGAAAACCATCTCTAGTTGCCAGCATAGAGTTTCTAACAGCTGCCTAAACACCATTGTTTTTCCCAAGCAAAATATTTCTAACTGTATTTGAAGAAAAACATTTTTCACAGTTTTTTTTTGAATGTGTTGGTAAGTTATCAATAACTTGACCTTGGATTGGCTTTTATTTGGCAAAGTATTAAAATTTTTTTGCAGTTCAAGTTTTTTTTTAACCTTCCAGATAATGCATGACATTGGGTGCCACCTTTCAATTTAAATGTTTAAAAAAAATTGATGAAATTCTCTGAAATTTTTAATCCTTTTGCTATTTCTCTGAAACTGATCATGAAGGCATCTTTCTTATAATTTGGTAATTTGTTGCTTGACTTTTTTAATAGGGCAATAAAAAAGATAATAATCCTAACTTATATAAAGGGCAGTGGTGGTTTTAATGCGGTAGTGGAGAGCGCTTGTCTCATAAACGAGAAGTTTCGAGTTCAACCCTCGCCATGTTCCTAGTAGTACCACACACAACTTGTTTCTCCGCCCAGTGGCCTTGTTCGTCAAGGTTCGTGTTTCAGAGTTGTTAAGTTAAGAGGGGGTTATAAACAGAGTTAAAGCAGCCTTCTCAACTGTAGTGGCTTTCTTGGCCTTGAGGAGGTGAATTAACATTTTTAAAAAAATGGTCTTATCAAAATATTTTAAAATACTACATAAATTGAGGGTTAAACATGAGGCAGCAATCTTTTTTTTCCAATTTTTTTTTTTGAAAAACTTAAGCACACGTTTTTAGAATAAGAGCGTAAAAACTATATTAAAAAATTGTGTCTTTAGGTATGAGTTATTTCTGATATATATATATATATATATATATATATATATATATATATATATATATATATATATATATATATATATATATATATATATATATATATATATATATATATATGCATTTGTATTTATAAAGATTTATTTAAATTAGTTACATTTTGTTTTGGAAGTTTAAAAAAAATTACTCATGTTGTAATGATGTTATATTTTCAAAGTTTTTATTTTAGAGACGAAAATGAGAAACAAAATAATCACAGAAGTTTTTGTTGAATTTTATTTACAGTTGATTGGTATTTTTATTCCTTTTTATTCTTAAACTTATGCTTTAAGTATGAGTATGAGTTGTAAAATTTTTTTTTTTGTTTAATTCTGTTTTATTTATGACTACATTTTTTTTTTATTTATATGACCACTAGGACATTTTGAAAAATTTTACATTTGCAATGAGGCTGGTCAAGAAATATTTTCAGTAAGTGTTTTTCAAAAGTTATAAGACTAAGAAGAATTTTCTCAATTGATAAAAAATGATCTCATTTGATAAAAAAATGATCTCATTTGATTAAAAAAAAATTTTGTGTGAAAAAAGTTTTTAGATTTTTTAGATTATTAAAAGAGGTTTTTTTTTTGTTGTTTTTTTTAAATTCTGATTCACTTCCAACAAGGCTGCAAGCAACCACATTTAAGTTAGGAGTTACTAGAAAAAAATTATAGAGTTATAGAGCAAGAAAATGGTTGACAAAAGATTTGAAAAGTTACAGGTTGTACGAGTCAGGAAAACATGAAAATGGTAGAGAGTTTCAAAGCATTGAAGCACAGGAAAAAAAAACTAGATGAATAAAAAACATGCAAGGACAGATACAGTAAACGAATGAGACTTTACTGAATGACGAGTCAAGCAAGGTTGAGTTTTAGTTGATGGAACTAGAGATAATAGTTCCTTTAAGCAGTGACCATGATAGTGTTTTTAGAAAAAAGAAAGAGATGCTACTTTATGATAAAGCAAAAGCGGTTCAAGTTTAAAAGTAGAGTACAATACGCAGGCTTGGTCAGAAAGGTGTGCAATCGCACAACATTAAATGACCATGCAAATAATACTTTATTTTGAAGATTTGACCACGGTTTTTAACATTTTAAAAATGCGCTGAAAATTTTTTTTTTTAATTACGTCGAAAATAAATAACTTTGAAACCTTTATCTTTACTAGCGTTTTTATATTAGCGAAATGCTTTCAAATAAAGTAACAGTTACTGTTAACACTTTTATTTAAAGTTTCGATGAAAGTTGTATACAATTTTATTTATATTATTTAAATATATATATAAGATTATATTATTAATAAATAAAATAATAAATAAGATTTTTTATAATTAATCTTATTTATTTTTTATTTATTTAAATTTTATAAGCTACGATTATAAACAATGATTGTCTCTTTAGTAAACTTTATTTAACAATCAGTAAAGTTAACACACATGGTTTTATTCGTAAACGTAGTACCTGTACTAATATTCTAGAAAGTCTTCATGACTGGACTTTAAATCTTCAGCGCTGTATTCCAACATATATTATTTATTTTGATTTTAAGAAAGCTTTCAATTCAGTTTCAAATCCTAAGTTACTAATGAAATTACCTGCTTACAAAATAGTTGGCAATCTTCAATCTTCTTGGTTAACTAATTTTCTGCACATGAGATCACAGGTGGTAAATTTAAACAATGTTACTTCCCATGCTATATCTGTAACAAGCGGTGTTCTACAGGGGAGCGTTCTTGAACCTTCTCTATTCTTATTGTTTATCAATGATGTGAGTGTGAATGCCACATTAATAAACAGCTTGATGTCAAACTTAAACTTTTTGCTGATGATATTAAATTATACTCAGTCTATGATGTACGTGGTACATGGCTTTCAGTCAGACCTTCACATAACTGTTAATCATTTGTACGAATGGAGTTGTACTTGGCAACTTCAAATAACTAAAAGTCCCTTTGTCTGTACAATTGCTAACCAGAGTCAAAACATAACCCAGCGTGTTTACACATTAAATAACCATGAAATTGCCCATGTTAACTGTATAAGAGAATGGAATTACCATTAATAGAAATCTCAAATCAAACTTATCGTACATAAAGCTATGTCAAGAGCTTATCTTATTCTAAAATCTTTTTATTCACAAGATAGATTGCTGATGGTTAAAGCCTACTGTACTTATGTACAACCTATGCTTGAATATTGCTCTTCAGTATCGGTCACCTTGCACTATATGCTTGATTAATAAAATTGAGAAAGTGCAGGGTTTCTTCACTAAAAGAATTGCTGGTCTGTGGTCAGTTTCCTATGATAAGCGTCTAGCCATACTAAAGCTTAACACGTTAGAATATCGACTAGTGTTTAAAGATTTAGTTTTATGCTATAAAATTCTTAATGGTAAACTGGACACTGACCATTCAAACATTCTTATTCTCAATTCTTACTTGAATAATCATGGTCATAACTTTAAACTGTACAAACACCATTGTAGTTTAAACAGCAGTAAGTGTTTCTTTTCTAATCGAATTGTTAATGTATGGAATAGCTTATCAGAGAGTGTGGTGTCTGCATCATCTGTCTCGATGTTTAAGAACTATCTTGCTGTACTGCTTTGTTCAAGTTAATACAATTTTGTTCTAACTTGTCCAGCACTTGATACAATTTAATATTTCAGTAAAAAATTTGTTAATGTATACTCAGTGTAAGTGGCCTTTAGGTCCTTCTGTTGTTTTCAAATAAATAAACACACTCAAAAAGATTTAGTTGAGAAGATAAAAAGACAACCTTTTGAATTAAAGACAGCCGTTTGCATTAAACTTTGATCTTTACTTATGTTTTTATATTATTAAAATGCTTTTAAATAAAGTAACAATTCACTGCTAATGTATTTTTTACATTAAAGTATTAATGTAATTTTCTTTCGTCTTTAAATGAAAAAAAATTAAATTGTTAACAAATTAAATCAATTAAAGGAATAGTTTTGTTCATTATTTTTTGTTTTTATCTTCACTTTTTTTTATTTGCTTTCTGATATAAGATTTCTGACAAAAGAAAAGATTTAATTATTTTTCTTTTGTTTATATTACTACGAAGAATTGTAAAGTTTTTTTTTTGTTGTTTTCTTTTAAATGTGCGTATTTATTAAAAAATCGTTGGAAGATGTTACTTTGTTTGAAAGGGTTTCGCTATGTCTATATAATTAAGAAAAAAGCGTCATTAAAAATACTTTCCTCATTAAGTTTAATCGTTTTTTTTTTAAATACCACTAATGTGCAATAAAGTTTTTTATAAAAACAAAATTGTTTATTTACATTTTTTATTGATTAGTACTATTTATTTATTTTTATTTTTTTGTTATTTAGGTTTCCCAAGAAGACCTAACGGTCTTGTCACAGAGCACTGCGGAAGTGCATTTAACCAGGAAGTTCACGCCTCCTTCCTTACCGTGACGCGAAAATATGTCCAGAGCTCCTTTCAAACCTGGATCTCTTGCTTATAAAGCAAGCACTCTAACCACTGTGCCACGACCAACTTTATTATTATTATTATATTTTTTTTTTACTATTAATATAATTTTATATAGTGCGGTAACAAAGCAGACGAGACACTACTAGTTTTACATTATAAAAACATTCGTAAAGATTCAATGTTATTTATTTCAAAATTATCTTGTTGTTTATTATTTTTTTAATTAAGTTTTGTTTTGCTTTTTTTTATTTTTGTTTTAGTTATTTATTACTAAGCTATTTTTTTTTCTATTTTTCATTATTTTTTTATATATTTTTTATTTTTTTATAATAAGTTTGTTTTTTTAGTTTCTTTATAACTAAGTTAAGTTTTCAGCACTTTATTAAAATGTTAAAACTGTGGTCAACTTGTCAAAACAAAAATATTATTTGCATGGTCATATAAAGCCGTGAAATCGCACGCCTTCCTGACCAAGCCTGCAATACGTATAATACAAACGTACTTAGCATTATGTTTACAATGCGTTTTTGGACCTTTTCTAGAAGAGAAAGAGCATTATTAGAAGAACCAGCCCAAATATGACAACAGTATTCCATACAGGGATGAATAAGAGATTTGTAAAGGAAGAGAAAGGAATCAGGAAAGAGAGAATGGTGAGATAAAGAAAAGCAAGGTTTAGTTAAAGAGTAAGAAAAAAGAAGACTTAAAAAGCTGTAAATTATGTGAAACAATAAAACATAAAGGTGAGAGGGAGTTCCAAAACATTGATGTTTATGACTTTTTTGTAAAAAATTATCAGAGTTCTTAGATATTTAAAAAATTATCAGAGTTCTTAGATATTTACATCATCATTTAACTCATCAAGAGTTCTTAGATATTTAAACATAAAGGTGAGAGCAAGTTCTTAGATATTTAAAAGAGGTTTAGTTAAAGAGTAAAAAAAAAGAAGATTTAAAAAGTTGTAAGTTATGTGAAACAAGAAAATATAATTATGGGTGATTTCTATAGCATTGATGTCTTTAGAAAAAAATTGAAATGAATTAAGGTTTTTTTAAATATGAAGAAATGGCAAAAAAGACTTTTAAAGTTATAAAATGATAAATCATTTTCCTCATTATGCAACCATAACACTTTATTGACCCCCTTTCCACCCCCTTTCCATCCCCTGCCCTCGTAATGCAACCATAACACTTTATTGACCCCCTTCTCTTCCCCCCCCCCCCCCTCAATATTATGCAACAATTTTGTATCTTTCCTCCCCCTCCCCCCCCCCCTCCCCAAAAAAAAAAAAAAAAATTTTGCAAAATACAAAACGGTTTAAATTTAATAATGTCTATAATTCTCTGAGCTTCTTTGAGTTGATTAATTAGTACTTTTCAGTCTGTTTAATGTTTTTTTTTTTACCCCGATAGTTTTGTGTAAAATTGTATAAATTAGCATCGATATCCTAAACATGATACTAATTTTAAAAACCTATTCTTCTGATATATAAAACTTGCAAAATATTATTTGTTTAACTTGTATCATAAGCGTGGTCAAGTGGATTATGCTTCCGGCTAGTAAACCGATGGTTTCGGGTTTCGCCTCTCAGTATTGAAATTTTTTTTTTTTTTTTTTTTTAGTTAGTGCATAAAGATTGTTTTTTTGTTGCTGTACAATACTGTGCACCGACTTAATATATTTCTGCACTTGAACCATATAAATTCAAAGCGCAGAACGTGCACTGAACATACAGCCGTAACAGTTCATTAACAGACTGTAACTACTCCTTTAACGAAGTGTACACATCGACTAAGTAAGATTTAGGCACAGTTATAATCACCATGTAGATACATCAACTGAAGGTATATACAAGGTACATCAACTGAGAGTTTTGGTTTGGTCAGATACTCTTATAACTAAAAGAAGGTCTTCTCATTAAAATAAAAAAATCTTGAGTCACAAAATCACCTACCCCTACCTTCCCCCCCCCCTCCTCCCTATCCCTAAGCGTGGCGTAATTTGACAACCCCTTAACTACAAAAAGTCCATTTGGAAAGTGATCTTCATCTCTAGTAGCTGAAATAAAATCTTTCATGAGCTTAATGGTTAAAAAAATCTATAGTATTAAAACTATTATTGAGCCATTCTTTAACACTTGCTCTTGATATTTTAAAATGTTTGAAAACAAGGTAGCTTTGCTTAGAAAATCAGCTCTGTGTTCTCTCCAATTTGTACATTTGATGGTTTACAACGCTAAAGTTCATTTGGCTCTTCAAGCTCAATCAGAGCTAACACATTTTTAGCTTTGTTTAAGATGGAATTTCTTTATCCCCAAAGGACAAAACACAGGTTTACGAAGTTAAGTACCACGTATGGCATCCAATGCTGAGAACCAAAGCATTTCCAATCTTCTTACTGACTTTTCTCGATGTATTGGCTGTCTGGATAGCTTTCAAGTCATTGTAGTGAGCCAGAAATCCTAAAAAAGTTTTCAAAATCCATGGAACATAGAAAACTGAAATAAACAAATTTGCATCCTTCAACTGCAGCACTTCTTTTTTTGTCAAGATATTACTGATATCTTTGTTCATATAAAGGGTCTGGATGTAGATCGCATCTGCTAAAAACCTTGGCTTATGGCAGGCGCCAGGTTGATGGAACTTAAAATCTTGTACTTCCGCTCCAAGGAAGAAGGAGGTAAGCTTACAAGCTATACCATAATCATTCCTTAAAAACACCATATCACTAGTTGCATTAGTCAAAAATATCTTAGCTTCTTCTGCAACAGTGCGAAGAACAGAGCCAATCTTCAGATCATCTCTTTGCCAGTCCAATTTACATAAATTTTTCACTTCATTAACTTTAAGATTTCAGGCCCCTTGTTCTTTAGCTTGACATCAAGAGCTCTTCTTGGACCTTTAGTTTTCTCACAAGTTAGAGCAGCCATATAGTGAAATACATGTACTTCATATATGTGTCTCCTACACATTGTCCACAACATTGGTAATTTCAAAATATCTGTAAGAATTTGGACTGCTCCATTGACTCCGCCTGTATTGCTTGCAGTTGTTCACAGCATATACCAATGATTTGCTCTTTACATTCATAATAATCTAAAAGATTGTGCACTTGTTCTGCTTGGTCAACTCCCTTTGAAGAGGGACATTGAACAATACCTAAATGATGGTCTTCCATGGTATCGTCATCCGGGGAGCTCACTGAGACTGTAAGTTGCTCACTTTACCAGGTGAGGTCGTACATCAATATTGTACCTTGTTGCTGGAATAGCAGTACATTCAATAAGCTTTTTAACATTCACTGCTAGATTTATCCTATCTCCAGAATTGTACCTAGGTATCATTTTATAATATTTTTTTACCTATTTATAATTATATACTTTTCAATAAAACAGCTTTAGTTTGTAAAAATTATAACTATGTTATTAAAATAATACTATACCAGCATTTCCAGCCATTACCCGGGAAATCTTCTTCCTTGCTGATTTCAGATAATTTGACATTTCTTCCTTACTGCTGAATTGAATTTCTTCTGTCATGGAGTCATGTGACAACAAAACATTAATATCTTTTAAGTTTTTCTGTCTCTCTAATTTTTTATCTCTCAACTTATCTAACTTGTTCTAGTAATTGTTCTAATAATTGTTCTAGTTTTTCTTGGAAGATCGCCAAACCATGGAAAGAGTTAAACATAAATATTTGAAAGGAAATAATATGCTACTTGAACTTACTTTATGTCTTCCAGCTTGGCATCATCTGTTCTCAATCTATCAGCAAAAATATCTTTTTCAAAATTCTTAGTCAAAATGTCAAAAAGCTGATAAGATTCTGAGAGAAAATCTTTCTTTAACTTTGATTGCTTATCAAGACTACTGTCCCAGTTTAGAGAAGACAATATAATCAATTTATTGTATATTATTTTATGATTTTGGTCTTTATATTGTACCCAGAAATCACAAATTTCTTGCCAGCATTATCCCAAATTTTTTTAATCCTAGTTACCAAGCAAGAATTATCAGGATCTGTACTAACACCATTTTCACAAATAAGATCCTTGGATTTCAATTTCAATTTGCAACAAACTTTAGTAGAAGTGGGTTTGTATTTAACCTGTGACTTGCGAAGGTTAAATTGAGAGTATCATAGAATATCACCATTAGATGGAAGCTGTAGATGGAAGGTAAATCCCTCAGGGTACTTCAATAGTAAATATACCTCAACATTTCTGTATTTTTCCGTTTTTTCTTATTCTGCCCATTATCATCCTTTTTTAGCTGTTCTACCCATTTTTTATAACTGTTTACATGAGAATTCCTTCATGCACAAATTAGAACTCCTTCGTGCACAAATAATTCCATTTAGAAATTTTTTCTTAAAAAAAAATTTCTAAATTGAATTATTTGTGAACCAATCCATGGGGAAACAACAATTAAAATTTCTGGTATTTGTAGACAAACATTTTAATTAAATGTTTGTCTGCAAATATCAAATATCAGGATTTCTTCAAAATGTTTCTTTAGTGAGTTTAAATTTTAAGTGTAATTTTTTTATTTTAGTCAAAACAGTTCTACAAAGCATCTCAATCCAGAGAACATAAACAATTTTTAAAAATGTTTGTTGCAACTCAAGCATTTAAACAGTTTACTTCTAAAAGAAAGAAATATGGGCCTGCTTATGGTAATGTTCTGTTTTTTTTGTTGTATTTTAATAGAAAGACTTATTTTGCTTTTTTGCAGACAATTACATTTATTAGGGAGGAGTTACATTATTTTGAGCCATTTACCCTTTTTTTATTTAAAAATTTATTTAATTTACTTGTACTAGATTCTCAAATCATTTCAATGGCTTTTTGTTGTTCTAATATAAATTAATACTTTTGTATTGTAGGGTTGTTTGAAGATTGTTTTTTTGAATGGAAACTAAAAAGGTAGTTTATTTCTTCAGCATTTTACATGATGCAATTTAAAATGTTTTAAGAAAAAATAAGTACCAAAATTTATTGTTTTATATGTTATATTGGATAACTTTCATAAAAATATTAATGCAATTCTTTACAATATATATTGACTTTGTAATAACTTAATCTTTAGACTAATAGATTAGATAATGATAGTTAAACATTTATAACATAGATAATGATAACAGATAATGATATTTAATCCTTTATAACATAGATAATGATAATAGATAATGATATTTAATCCTTTATACCATAGATAATGATAATGATAATGATATTTAATCCTTTATAACATAGGTAATGATAATAGATAATTATATTTAATCCTTTATACCATAGATAATGATAATAGATAATGATAGTTAATCATTTATTACATAGATAACGATAATAGATAATGATAGTTAATCATTTATAACATAGATAACGATAATAGATAATGATGGATAATCATTTATAACATAGATAACGATAATAGATAATGATGGTTAATCATTTATAACATAGATAACGATAATAGATAATGATGGTTAATCATTTATAACATAGATAACGATAATAGATAATGATAGTTAATCATTTATAACATAGATAGCGATAATAGATAATGATGGTTAATCATTTATAACATAGAATAATAAACTTAATCTTTAAATTTTATCTTCCATAGAAAAACAACGATAAATTAATGTTAGCAAAGGGTAGTGATGTAAGTTAAGTAATTTTTACTAAATCAGATCTCTTAAGCAATGCATCTGATTTTTGATAATTTTTTCAAAATTAAATAATTGCTAAAAGATGGTTAAGAAAAAATAATCTTTTATTGATTTGTTTGAGAAAATATTGTCTAAAGTTTACCAACCTGCTTAACATGCTCCAGTGAGATAAATGGAGCTGCTGTATGAGACAATAGTTAAATGCATATGCATGAAATGGAGTTGGGATAAGAAAAACACTAAGCAATGTTAGCATATTGTGTTACTATTATAATTTCCTACCGTTTATTCATTACATATTTTGTAATGCAATGTGTAGTTTTTGAGATATTTTGTTTTCCCAACTTGTTCCTATGCTTAACTTGCCCCGCTCTAAAGTTAAAATAAATATAGAAAATAGTAGTTGTAGTTACTTGTAGAAATTTTTTTACTTTGAATGTTATTGTGTTAAATTGTTTCTTTGGATTTAAATGTTTTTGGATATTTCCGTGTTAAAACATTAACAAAAATTCAAATAAATAACTCACTATCTCTAAATTACTTACTACGCTAAAAAAAATTCTCTAAGGTTGTTTTAAACAAATCTGAATTTTTTAGAATTTATGTTTGTTTGAAATTTAAAATGTAGTAACATTTTTTTTTATTATGTTTCCCTAGCAAAATCCTTAGTAACATGTGAACCTTGATACATATGTTGTTACCTTATACTATATTATTTCATAGCTTGACATTTTCCGCATATTTTGTAGATGCTAAACCATAAAATTGTACTCAAAAATTATAAACTTTTATATTTATTAGTAAATAAAAAAGTGTAACCTGGTATTTTTAATATAATTTAAAAGTAAACATGTTTACCTTAATATAAATTAGGCAATGGTAAGGTTGCTATTGGTTTCAAGACTTCATATTCTTAAAGTAAATATCTGAAAAAATACTGAGCTGTTTTTGGACTTACTAATCTAAAAAACTTTCATTTTTGATTAAATGGATATTGAGATTGAAAAAGGATATTAATAAAAATTTATGTTTAGGCAGGAAGTAAGAGATATTCTCACTTATGTGTATAACTACAATACAGGCCTGTAGCAACTGTGTGGGCAGCAGGGGCATTTGCCCCCCCCCCCCCCAAAAAAAAATTTTTTTTCTTCAAATAAATAATTTTGTAAAAATTGACTGAAAAAATGACTAAAAATGCAATATACATAATTGATAAACTTAATTTAAAAATATTTCAATATTAAAAACATGTATTTTCATTCAGAGCCAATCAGAAAGTAAGGAGGTATTTTCACTTGTAAAACTACAATATACATTAGGTGTAACTTCAATATCCATAGGAATACATTAATTATTTTTTTGAATTCCATGTTTTTATGAATTGACAATTTTTCATATAAATTTGTAAACTTCAAGCATTTCCTTGTTTTTCTTTAAACTGTAAAAAGAAATAAAATAAAGCAATATTTTTTAACTATTGAAAAATATTATCATATACATATGCAAACTGTCAGTTCTAAGTAATAATTGATATAAAGAAGTAAATGTCTTTCAAGGCCAACAAAAAAAGTGGCTTGGGCCAACTTAGTGCATAAATTTAAATTACAAATCAGCTTCACTCATCACCTTTATCTCACAATGTCTAAGTTTGTACGACAAACTAGGCATATCGCATATCATCACTGCAGTTTCATCTTATCTTCATTTTAACATACAGGAATAAATTTATGAAATTCCCTGGTTTTTACATTTTTGAATTGCTTAGATTGTAATACACTTTTTTTTGTCAAACATTCACTTAAAATAAAAGTTTATACCTTTGTAATTATTTTCTAACAAACTAATTAGCTACCAATCATTTAATTGTTCCTCCTATACCATCACAAGGTTGCTTTCATTTAACTGTTCCTCCTATACCATCACAAGGTTGCTTTCATTTAACTGTTCCTCCTATACCATCACAAGGTTGCTTTCATTTAACTGTTCCTCCTATACCATCACAAGGTTGCTTTCATTCAACTGTTCCTCCTATACCATTACCAGGTTGCTTTTCATAGCTGGTTGCAAACTCATTTTGCATCTATTCCAAAATCTGATTTATGCTTTTATAGGTTAAAAATATTTTTTCAGTTTATATATTAAGCTAAACAGATTTCAGAAAAGTAGATATTTATAATGCTGAGTTTCTAGTGCTTTGGATAATTGCTGATATTTATAATGCTGAGTTTCATTTGGCATATTGCTTTTTGTACCTCATAAATCATGATTGTTATCATCTGATGTATTGCAATATGAAGTATAATACTTGATCTTTATAATTATATTACAAACTAGTTTTAGTTTAAAAACTAGTTTTAAATATATTTTAATAATCAGTTCTTACTCTTTTGATTTTTGCATAAATTTCTAAAGTAAAATCTTTTTTTTTTTTCTGCACGGTTTTACTTTCTGAAGTGCATATAGAATGTTGTTAGATGCTGACCAACATTCTATAAGCAAAGTGGTTTTATTTTTATACTGATAGTGAGAAACTTAAGTCTAAAAACATTCTTTAAAATATATTTAAAATGAATATTGTAGGGTTTTGAATATGTCACAAAAAGTTTAACTATTGCCTAGACTCCAATGCGGACAAACAAATAAAATAATGGCTGTAAAATTTGAAACTTTATCTTGTATTTCTTTTTCTGATGATGAAGTTCCTGGCACTAAACTATTAAAAATTCCAGTGTAAATGAGCTTAAAAGGTGGCTGGAGTGTCATAATCTTAAAAAAAGTGTGAATAAAAAAAAACTTGTATTGAGAGTCCAGAGAGCTATCAATTTAAATCTTTCTGTCGATCTTAAAGTGGACGAAGTAAAATGGTATAATATTAAAACCGCATCTGACCGAAATTTATCTCTTAACTTTAGTTATGGACATATATATCATTTTGTTGTTGAGTCTCAAATGCTTATTTTTCTTCCTCTTCACGGCATGATAACTGATCATGATAAACATGATAACTTACAGCATGATATAGATGAAATTGATTGTGAGGATACTATTATTGCTTTACCATTACGTAAAGGTAGATGGCTTTTAAAGAGTGGATTTGTTGAAAATGTTGAAGATAATTTTTCATCTGAAAGTGACAATTATTTTATTAGAGGACATGTCCATCATTCAATGAAATCTGAAAAGCCTTTACATGTCTTTTTATCTATTAGCAATATTAGTGGATATGTTAAGTATACTTCATGTAAATTGCAGATTTAGTGAAATTAACAGATGCTGTCATGTTACTGCACTTCTTTTGTATTTAAACTGTAAACTATGGGTAATCCATAAAGTATGTACACCTTAAAAGTAATAATGACTGGATAACGACTATCAGAATGGCAAACTTCCCAACAACAATGTTTAGTGGCTCCAGTCGACAGCAGTCCTTTGTATTTTTTTGCCATCATTTATTTGTTTGTCCGCATTCGATCCCACAACACTTTGCACGTGTAATTGGAAAATCTATTTATAGCCACGCAACCCTACACTATTTATTTTAATAACCAACAAAAGTCACTTAACTCAATTTTTGCCAATTTAGATTTAGTGGGATGGGGGATTGCACCCACATGCACCCGTCTATTTCTGGCCCTGGCTGCCTCAATTGATCATTTTTGTGGGCGTAAAGTCAAAACTTGAATCTTATCCCTAAATGACAAGCAATTTTCAAGTTTATCTTTTATCAAAACTAACATTTTATCAAACTTAGCAAGTTTTTTTTTTTTTAAAATCAAGAATATATTTATTATTGAAAGTTTCAATTTATATCAATGGAGTTTTTAAAGAACTTGATAACTTTTCTTTTAAAGAACTTGATACCTTTTTTTTTTACAGAACTTGATAACTTTTCTTTGTTGTTGTAATAGTTTTAAGTTTTTTCTCACACGATTTGCAAATTTTCTGTGAAGTTTAATTGGTGACGCACCAACTATACTGAGACAATCAGGTAGTTCTTGTCTGCTCTCAATCTCATGTTGGATGTTAAATACGTTTTATTTATTTATTTCATTTGTGTTATTGTCAGCAATACCAATTTTATTAGTATTAATTTCAGTGATAGCTCTTAATTTGACCAAGTAATATGAGCAAATATTGTATTTATTGTTTAAAGCTTTGGTTCGTAACTTGACTTTTTTGAGAGATGCTAAAATAAAAAAGATAACTTAATAAAAGTAAATGTGCATAATATCAACAAACATAATAAACTTAAAATATGACAATATATATAACATTTATAAAAATTTTATGTCATGCTTTACTAATGTCAATTATCAAAAGAAACAAATGTCAATTATCAAAGCAGAGGAAACACCAGACCTCAGTGCAACTAAATTTTGCTCATTTGGAGCTAAATCTTGAAAACGTTTATACCAATGTGGTTTGTATATGTTAATTTGTGACAATTTTATTTTAAAATCAATATAACTGAGCGTTGAGATGTTCCAACTATTATAATAATATTTAATTTTTTTTTTTTTTTTTTTTTTTTTTTCTAAAACCGAAATTTAAACAAAAGTAATTTTTCGCGTAAACATTTTATTTATATTCAAATGTTAGAGCCAATTGTTCTATTTAATTAATCAAACAAGAAACGAGAAATTCATTTTTATTTTAAACTAAATAAGTAGAATCATAGAAATTATAACCAAAAACAGTAAATAAAATTGGAAAATGAAAACTTTAATAAAACAGATAGTGCATTAAAAACAGTGAAATAAATTTTGCCTCATGTGTATTTATGTATAAATTATGAGTATTTATGTATAACTTATGAGTATTTATGTATAAACTATTATTGTAAAGTGTTGAGATGAATCATTACTTTTTCTGTAATTCATAAATTAGACATGCTCACTGAAAAATTATTGTAAAAATCCCGGTTTGCATCTTAAAGTTATTTATTAAATATAACATCTAATAACTTCAAGTAATTATTTTCGAATTCTTTCTTCAAAAGTTTCTATTAAATTTTTTAAAAGTATGGTTAACGTAACTGTGTATACTTGAGTATTTCAGTGTTGCTATAAACGTTGCTAAGAGTGCAGAGAATAAAAAAATGTCAAATTTTGGTTAACTATATTCGTGCCAAAACTCAAGTAATTCTGATATGGTGGGTCATTTCGACTTGTTGACATAGAATTACCCTTTTTAAAAAATAAGTATGTACTCTGAATTACTTTTTTTATGTTTTTTGGGAGTTTTCAGATGCAAAAATTATAAAAGTCTTATCAGAATATTTTCAAATTCATTACCAGGTCATAGTATTTGGTAATTTAAAATCAATTTTGCTTTCCTTTATTTATTAAGAAAATTCGAAAAACTTTAAATTGCGTTGATTTGAATGTTAAATTTTTTTTTGCAGTGTTGAATTGAGAAATGGTGTTTAAACTAAGAAAAATTGTTTTAACCTATCAGTATTTCCGTGCTGAGCTTATTTTTATTACTATTTAAATTTGATGTCAACTTTTGAATTTAACTTTTATTGTTGTTTTGAGTAAAAAATGGAATTATATTAAAATTTTCTTGTTTTAACTTTAAATTTCGTAAATGTTTTTTATCATTATCCTAACAATATATGTATATCAGTACATCATCATCCTCGTTTCTTTTATAACAGTACATCATCATCATCCTCATTTCTTTTAAAATGTCTAAACTTGATACTGATTTTTATTTTGATTTTGGCCCACATCTGCTGCTTTTTTTATAAACATTGTTTTTACCTTAAAGGCGGAATGAAAACTTGACATACGGTTCAAAGTTCAAAGACTTTTTATCAATTTTGAAATTAAAAGCTAAACCGAATTAAGTTATCTACGCTGTTTATCTTAAACCGGACATAAATTGTTTTTGGAAATCTATAAAATTCTGTTCAAATATACAAGTGGTCGTGAGTTTGCGAAGTTTTCTATTTTTAAACAATAATGGTTTGTAATAATTTAATATCTCACGTTTTTTTAATAGTATATTTTATCACGTATTTTTACAGTGAAAGGTTATTTAATATATAAGTATAAATCTTGAAAATATTAGAAAAGCTGTTTTTGGATATCTATAAAATTTTGTTCAAATATACAAGCGGTCGTAAGCTTGCGAAGTTTACTATTTTTAATATGGTTTGCAATAATTTAATATCTCACGTTTTTTTATTAGTACATTTATCATGTATTTTTATAGTGAAATGTTATTTAATATATAAGTAAAGATCTTGAAATTTGTAATAAAATTTGGTTTTAAATTTAGTATGAGTGTTGCATAGTATAGTTGCATAGTGTGACATGTTAAACGCTGTTATATAAAGGCAAATTCGTCACGTAGTGCCGAAAAGAAAAAAATTAACATTTGTTTTAAAAGTTTGACAATTTTGTGAAAAATACCAAGACTTTACCGAAAACAAATATCCATCGGTAATTCTGCATTCGTTGGTAATTCTGCATCCGTCGGTAATTCTGATGTCAAAATCTTTTTTCTGAATAGGTATTATAAATAGGGTAAAAGACCCAGTGTTCGCCATGTGATCTAGTCTTCGCCACTTAATGCAGAACCAAAAACTGTTTGCTGAAAAAATTCGAAGTTGTATTTAAAAAAAACTTTCCTTTTTTTTCTTTTTTACGATATTATTAGGATGCAGAAATATCTTGTAAACATAGAATTGATGGATAAATTTAATAGGGTGGGCCGGGTGGCGAACACTGAAAGTACTCCCTTGCTTGTATTCATCAAAACCTTTTTTTTAAAAAATGACTTTTTTCAACTTATCGCAGAATATGAACTCCGTCACATATGTCAGTATGGGTATGGTTTAATTTTGATTAAAAAATAACCTTGTAATAAGCAGTTAAATTTTTTCCAAAATTGCTTTTATTATATCAGTATTTCCATGCTGAGCTTATTTTTATTACTATTTAAATTTGATGTCAACTTTTGAATGTAACTTTTATTGTTGTTTTGAGTAAAAAATGGAATTATATTAAAATTTTCTTGTTTTAACTTTAAATTTCGTGAATGTTTTTTATCATTATCCTAACAATATATGTATATCAGTACATCATCATCCTCATTTCTTTTATATCAGTACATCATCATCCTAATTTCTTTTAAAATGTCTAAATTAGGGTTTCTCATTTCCCGTAAATTTAGCATCCCGGGATTCCCGGTGTGTAACTTATTTATCCCGGGATTTCCCGGGATTTCCCGGCATAATTTTTAATATAATAACAAGCGGTTTCTGACACAAATTTATCTTAGCACGCTAATCTATATTACTATTTAAAATGAAATATTGTTTTAAAAAACATAAACAATCAATTGATTTGTCACTTAATCGTGAACGAATTTTTCCCATAAATAGACCCGCGGCAGAAAAAGCCCTTTCTGATTCAATTGATGTCGGCTTGATGGTCATTAATGTTGAGTATATTCTTTCTAAACTTTCGCTACGCTTTCCAGTTGCCTCAAAAAGTTTGATTTCTTTTGTGAGGTTTTTTAAATTGCTAATGTTTTCTAGAGCTGCTTTTTCTACTTGTTTGACATTACAAATAGTCGCATCCAATTTTTGTTCAAGCGTCAAAATACTTTTGCCTAATAAATATGGAGCAACAGGTTGAGGTATTGACGGGTCAGAAACCATGCTTTCATTATCACGACTCACTTCAACTATTTCATTATTTGATGAACTAAGGCTAGCATCCTCTATGTAGAACCTGGTATAAATTTTTTTTGCTGTTGCTTTTAATGCATGTTTGGGCGGTAAGAGTAGTTTGGAGTTGATATTTGATTCCTGATTATAACTAATTGGGTTGTTTAAAAATTTTAGTAATCCAATTAAATTGGCATTTCTGCGTTCTTCAATTCTCTGCTGCACAGATTGAAGCAGTTTATTAGCTATAAAATTTTTTTTCTCCGTCAAATCGTCTAAGATGAATATCATTACACCTTCTGCGTCAAGTAGAGTAGCATTACTTCTACCAAGTCTTTCTATTCCAACTTTTATTGGTTGCAGAGAAAATGTTATGTCGTTCATAATCGCATATTCATCTTCGGAGATATTCAGAACTTCTTTTAAATCGATCATTGCTTTTAGTATACATGTTTTTACTTTAAGGAATCTTTCTAGCATTGCAACAAGACTATTCCACCTCGTTTTGACATCTAATATCAGCTTAAGCTCTTTATTAAACATAGATTTTACGTACATTTGTAAAACTTCATTTTTAAGAGGTGATTTACGGAACATTCGAACCACTTTTCGAACCTTCTGAATTGTTAAGGCTATATTTACGCTATTTTGTAAATCATCAATAAACGTAACGCCTGTTGAGCTGTGTGACTCATCATTACAGTCAAATACATCATCAAACTCGTCGTAATCACTCAAATTTTCATCGGAATCTTGAAACTGCGATTCAAATTCAATATATTTTGCTGAAGAGTCTGACTTTTTGTAAAGAACATCACATACTGCCAAATGAAGTCCGTGGGCATAACACAGCTGATGTTCAATACCACTTAGCCGTCCAAATTTTTTCATTACGGATGCTCCGTCAGTGACACTAGCTATGATGTGCTTTTTAATTGATAAACTGAAATCTGACAGTTTATTTTCAACTAGATCAACAATTTTTTCTGCAGGAAGTGATCCAGCTATCGGAGTCATTCCCAGGTTCCAAAACTTTGTTGATAAGTGTAAATTTACATTTAAATAACGTCGATTTTTTAAAGACGTATATTCGTCTAACGATAAAGAAAATCGCGACCCGCTAGAAATTTCTTTTGTTATCTCTAAAACCACAGTTTGTCTAGCTAATTCATATTGTTTTTTTATCATACCCATAACATGGGATGGATTTTTTGGTAATAACATGCCTTTTTCAGACAATGATTTTCTAATGAATTCACTTTTTGTTATGGCATTTATTGAGAAGCCATCCACCGTTGCTAGCTTTGACACAATTTCCTCGATAGTCTGCTGTTTAACAAACAATGTTATTTTCTTTTGAACAATTTTATTTTCCGAACCAGTATCTTCAAGTAGACGCTTCATATTTAGATCCAAATCTTTATGTGTGTTTTTTAAATGACGTAGGAGCCCACTGGTCGAAAATCCTTTGCACATTATCTTTACATTGCACTTTTTGCAAATTGCAGATTCGCCAGATTTTTCTTTACAAAAATACTGCCATGCTTTGGATCCATTTACAATTGACATAGTATAACTAAATTGAATCGCAGAACAACTAAAAGTAAAGTTACAAATATTTCTTACATATGTATGTTATCTTACGTATGACTTTTATGTGTTTGTTTGCCGTTTTTTAAATACAAAAATTATTAAATATTTCAATAATTTGATACAGAAAAAGTTTAACTTTTCAATAATTTAGAAGTTTAAAAATTAAACTTACTGTTTTCGTCGCAAGAAATCTTTTTTATTTTTTACTCATATTTTATAATAATGAGAAAAAAGAAAACATTGCATTGCAATGCATTTCTTTTTAGTTTAAGATAGTTTCAATAGCATTTCTTGTAGGTTTTAATATAAGGTATGAACACATAAAACACAACTAAATGCAATAATATTTTTCTTATTTTTGGTCGAATTAGTTCAAAGTTATCATATGTAAAATTATTTTAAAAAAAATTATATTCCGGGATATAAGAGTGATATCCCGGGAAATCCCGCTGCCACTTTTATCCCCGGGATCCCGGGAAAACGGGATCCCGGGATCCCGTTTGAGAAACCCTAGTCTAAATTTGATATTGATTTTTATTTTGATTTTGGCCCACATCTGCTACTTTTTTTATAAACATTGTTTTTATCATAAAGACGGAATGAAATCTTGACTTACGGTCTTTCCAGTAATCTTTTCCAGTCTTCGCCACACTCACTTTTTAGTAGTCGCCACACTAACTTTTTAGTAGTCGCCACACTAACTTTTTAGTAGTCGCCGCCGACATTTTAATTGTTTATAAATTATTGCATTACACCTTTTTTTTTCATCTTTTTCTTTTACACTTTTTTTTGTCTTTTTCAGAATAATCTTTAAAGTAGATAATTAATTACAACTTTTTAATCAGGGGATAGATTAGGGTAATATAAGCGAAAATTGGAATATTTTCAAAAATAGTTGGATCCAAAACTACTTATGATCCCACTTAGATATTTGGGCATCCGAAATTTTTTTTAAAAAAAACAGAGGTTTTAAAAAAGTAGAAAAAGTGCTCATATTATTCACACCAATTTGTAATATGAGCATTTTAAATTAGCTTAAAAAAAAAACATTATGTAAACAAAAATACCAACTTGACAATTAGAACTATTTTTTGGAATATAATGATTGGTTATTAACAAAATTTATCATTAAAAGATCAAATTTTAAGCCACTTTTTATTGAAACAATACTACTTTGTTTTCCGCCATAAAAAGTTAGTTATTTTTTAATTTTACTAACTCAATCCTGTCCCAAATCATCTGCCTACGTCCGTGAACGAAAATCAATTTTAAAATTTTCCCTTATTACACATTTATGTGAAATGACAGCATTTCTATTTTTTGCATTTTTAAAGCTTTTATTAAATGTAAAAAACTTCTAACAAAGGTAAAATATAGATTTTTGCAATATAATTTTTTTAATTTTAAATGGACAAATTTTAGGAAAGGGCACTTTTTCAAAGAAACTAAATCTGTGAAGGTTGCATTTTTGAGTCTCTTAAGAAAAAAACGAAAAAATGCCCAATTCAGCTAGGAATCATGATGAAAACAAAAAAGTTGTTTGCCTCCTGTGTCTCAAAAAGGCAAACAGACAACTCACAACGTTTTTGCATGAAAAAATTCAACAGGTCTACAGACAACAAATCAATTTTGAAGATGTAAGAGTACCGCAAGGGCTGTGTAAAACTTGTAGAACTGCTCTGAGGAAACGTTATGAAGGACGTCCTGGTGAATTACAAGCTCTTTTTAATTTTGAAACAATCATTGTCAAACCACTCACAAGAGGAAATCCTTGTGAATGCTTGATTTGTCGCATTGGCCGGTTGAAATTAACTGAAAAGCACCCTCTTGACACTGACATGAAAGAAGAAAAGATTTCTGACAAAAGGTGCTCAAAATGTCTGTCACTAATTGGTAGGGGATTGCCACATCATTGCTCTGTATCACAGTTTAAAGAGAATATAAGATCTCTGGCAGCCAATGATGGTAAAGTTGCGGAACAGATTGTATCTTTAACAATCACAAGCAAGGATGCATCTCCACATGGAACAGTTCGACTTTCACAAACCAAGGGTGGGAGAGCATTGCCTATAACTCCAGGTAAACATATGGTTACATCATTTAAGTATTTTGGTAAAACATTTGCTGTAAAGTTAATTTTCATATCTTTTAGGACCATCAAGTGCAAAACAGCTTTTCAAGGATCACCCAGTTGTAACAGTGCAAGATCTTGCTCAGGTTTAAATAAACACAGGGTTGTCCAATAATAGCATAAGAAAGCTTGCAACAACAATCAACAATGTAAGCACAACCAAAGTTATGGAGCCATACATTGTTAAAAAATTTCAAAACCTTGGGAAGAATCTTGAAGAGAGCTTTACTCAGACCACAGCGGCATTTACAAACGCGGACAAAACAACTTCAAATTACATTGTTGCACATTGCAAGAGTCTCAATAGTCTTATTGAAGATTTACTTTTGACACGGAAGATTTTTTCAAACCACGTCATTAAATTGGGGATCGACAGCGGTGGAGGATTCTTAAAAGTCTATCTCGGAGTTTATGAATTGGAACCAGAGATGCAAAGTGAAGCTTCACCTTCAAGCAAACGCTTGCTTACATCACAAGCATCAAAGGATACAGAAGTGAAAAAACAACTTCTTGTGGCTGTGGCTGAAGGAGTTCAAGAAAATTACAACAATATGAAAATCATTCTTTCCCTTCTCGACATTCAAGAGGTCAATTTTGTTATCTCTTGTGACAT